GGTGCCAGAAATCCCCCACCTGAAATGTGATGATGTCGATGGTGGTACTGCCCATGACCTCTGTGATCAGATTGTGTTGGCTGGACTACTGACTGACCACATGGCATCAAGCACAAGACCCTGCTGTCCCACATGGACGTCGGACTCTGCTGCTTGTATGTGCTCTCGTAGGCTAAAGGAATGTAGGATTTCCAAGGGAGCAGTGCTGGCTGTGAATGGCTGATGGCCCATCCTTGCGGAGTTTCCAACTGATGAACCTGGCAGAGTAGTCTTGGTCACTATGACAGAAATATCATGCTTGGAGTACACATCAGGCTTGGAGGTACCAGGTGATTTACCCAGTACATGGCTTGAACTTACCAATCTATGTCTCGTTTTGACATTGTCCGCCATTATTGAGCACAGCAAGATTCAGATACATATAAGGGGCCATTTAAAATTGGTGATTTTTAATTTCAATTTTTGAGAGGGTGGGTCGAGGAAAAGTTTTGAAAATTCAAATTCACTATTCATTGAAAAAACAACGAAAAACAAATTGATCTTTTGATGGCCATGAATAACACGCACCATGCCAGCATTCCATAAGTGTGATCTGTTTCAACTTTGTTGCAGTTTATGGATAGAATGGCCTGTGTATCATGTACGGTATGAAATTCCATGGGTGAAGGTGTTTGTTAATGGCTAAATCCGCACCATCATATGCCGACTCCAATACAATCACGCAAAATGAATGCACAGGTCCACCTGCACCTTTCAGCATACATGGCATAATCTGACCGCAAACATATGTACGTGTCATCTAAAATAAATGTTCCTTAAACCTTTGTGTTGATGAGGGCGCATGGAATCGAATATAAAATGGCTGTCATACATGTAAGTCAGGCATGAGAAGGGGCATCAAGAAAAAACCTGAAAATAGTTTGTGATGGAATAGATCGGGGGGAGACTACCGCAAGTGGAGAGCGTGAAGCACTTATGGCAGAGGGTCAGGTGCCTGCCTAAGGGCCCTGGGGGAAATGTTGGATTGTATATGCTCTGTGGTGCAATCTGAGGCCATTCCTGGTCCCTTTGCCACTGATTTGTTGAAGCAAAATGTTTTCGATTGAAAGGATATTTGTTTATTGTACTTAGCTGCATGCTGTATCAATGCTTTAGCTCCGCAAGTACCGTACTTTATACAAATACAACACCACTTGCACCATGCTTCCCCCCCCTCTTGTAAAGCTTGCAAAAACAGTCACCCACCACGTACATGTACTCATCTTTAATTTTTTTGCCAGTAACAATTTGCCACATTATGACCAATTCCACTTGTTTTTTTTACTGATTTGTCTGTCTCTTTTGGATTGGTAGCTCCATGCTCAACAAACTTCTTTCCTTCCACCATGATCTCAATTTTTTTCCGACTGCATGTGCACGTTTGTATGTGTACGTACAAGTACGTACGTGTCCGCATGGCACTTTGACATGCAGCAGCCATGAATTGACATCTCTATGAAATACGGACTCATTGGTAGCATTGCGCATGTATATGTATGATGATTAGGAGCATGACCAGTCACGTAAGAGGATGAGTCAGATTTTCATGTGACACCGGGCATTCACGCAAAGGTGCTTTTGGGCAAAACGACCGCGCACTAACGTTCACTGGTTCCCTCCTTTGGTTACGTAAAGAGAATTCAATTTTTGTGGGAATCTGACTGCAAAATTAGTTCCTTGCTTCCTGCCCACATACATTGCGAGGGGTATTGCTTATACCCTGTCCCAAAGCAATGTGCGAATTGAACCATTGCCAACGTCCTGGCAAAGCTATATGACATCACATTCCTTAGCTTTCCTACTCAAATTAGAAAAGTGCAAAATGTCACTGGGAATAAAGGGAAAATTTGAGCACCAAGTGGTCAACCAACATTTACCCCCTTACAACTCATCCTTACTTTCATTCCTTTTTTATGATGAACTCGAAGACCACAAATTTGAAGGGAAAAAAACCCAGAATTACGGTTAAACCGAAAAGATTCCCATGCCTAATATGTGGTACTTTGCAACTGTAGGCTGTCAAACTTTCACACAAATGTGAAGAAACTTGAATCGGGCAAGTTGTGTGAAAGCATATGAGAAGTATGCAAAATAAACATACAGTTTACAGTTCACTAGTGGTGTGCAAAATTATTTGAACACAGCACATTTTATAGGTATAATGTACTACAGTTCCTTGTGATGAGATGGCAATCAATACAGCATTAACAGTTTTTATGTCTACCATCAGTGCTTGAATACATGTGCAGAATTATTCAAATACCTGACATTCCCAAAGAAATTAATACTTAATCCTTTAAAATGCCTGGTTTACATTTTTTTACCTGTATTAAATTTTTTTAAAGTAATGGTAAGCATAGCTCTTTTTAATATATTAATGTACTTCCCCCACCGTGTTCTACACATGTAGTTGGTAAATGGCATTCATTTCTGTACCTTTTACCCTTCCGTCTGAGTACTAAACACTATTTGGTTCTAAACTGTTCCAACTTAGATTCATCAGTCCACGGGACTTTACACCAATTTCCCTTTGTCAAATGCTTGTTTCTTTCACTCCATTGTTCTCCTTCAACAATGGCTTCTTAGCTGCTACTCTGTCGACAAGTCCTTTTCTATCAACCTGTGACGAACAGTTGATGAAGAAACTGCAACACTATCAGTCAGTGTGCTGTTGAAATTCTCTTTGAGCTTCTTCTCTGGTCTCCAAGACTTAATTGATTCACATGCCTCTCCAAAAGTTTCTTCTTCCTATCTCTCCCTTGCGGTTTTGGCATGAATCCGTGACCTTACACGTGTCCAAAGAGTTTGAGCTTGAGCTGCATTTTCAGACGTATGTCTCTGGTTATTGATCAGTAGCTCCCATCTGGCATCATCAAGAGGGTCTTTATTCTTGCCCTTTACTCGGTTTAAGTTCCTTCTTTGCCCTTGCCATGTTCAAGCCATGGTGATCTGTGCTCTGGGCTTTATGTACCCTTTCCCCAAACTAGGAGATTTTCAAAATGTATTTACAATTTTATGCCTACTTTCTTCACAAAAGGTTGCCGCTGATGACCACCAAAGCTTGCCTGTCTCCTGATGGCGGAGAGAGCATACTATCTGAAACGTTGAGTATTCTACATCTTATCAGAACTAAACTCACTCACAAAAGAGAGATTTTGCATGGTGCTACCACAAACCTACATGTATTACATGTACCTTTACTTGCCACCTTCACCATAAAACCTAGAATCTCAATTACCGGTAAATAAGGACACAAAGAACACTGCAACCCATTTGGATGAAAGAACTACGTGTAACAGAATACAGGTAACTGTGAGAGATGAACAAATAGCTGGTTACTAGGGTTGTCTGGATATTAGGTACATGTATGTCCATAATTTGAAAACATTGCTAAAATGGTTTATTTCACTAAAAGCAACTTAATTGAGTCTCAATGTGCCAAGTGTTCAAATAATTTTGCACACCACTGTATTTTCAGCACTTCAGTGAAACCGGATTTCCTGTTTGACCATTGCTGGGCATGCTCTTGAACGGAGCAATGGCCGGCCCATATCAGCCCATACACCGCTGCGTAGTATCACATAAATATTTTGGTGTTTAACTGGGACATGATACTTGGCCTTGAAAATGCTGTAATCGAGAGTGCTACAGCCTGCTAAACTTTAAATCGTCTATGGGAGAACAGTCACTTATGCCAAAAAAAGAACTTTTTATCTGGTCAGAGCACTTCATTCAACATGGCCGCACCATGCATGCTACAAGTACGTTTGTCTATATGTAAACACTGGATGAACAAAATTAGTTTTTTAATTGAAAATGGGGGGAGGTGGGTCAAAACAATTTTGATAAAAATCATTGAAAATTTTGAATTACCCTTAACTCTATGGATCTATAGCACACGCTACATGCACACTGTACATGTTGCTAAAAAAAACTAGGACAAGTTTTTGTGTTGCACAGCCCTTTGTGGGGGACGTGCAGTGAGC